CCTGACCAAAGCAGAATAGAGTGTCACTCTTGCTTCCCTGGATCTAGACACAATTAATTAATGCAGCCTAGAATCACATTGGCCTTTTTAGCTGCTGCACCACACTCATGTTCAACTTGTGGTTTATTAGGAGTCATACATAGATCCTTTTCACATGTAGTCTTGTTAAGCCAGGTATCTCCCATCCTATATCTATGCATTTCATTTTTATGCCTATGTGCAGTACCTTACATTTTTCCCTATTGAAGTTGATTTTGTTAGTTTTGTCCCAGCTTTCTAACCTATTAAGGTTATTTTGAATTTTGATCCTCTCCTCTGGGGTATTATTTACTCCTCCAAATGTGGTGTAATCTGCAAATTTGATAAGCACGCCCTCTATTCTTGGTAAGCATACCCTCTATTCTTTCATCCAAGTCATTGACAAAGATGTTGAATAGCACTGGGCCCAGGACAGAACCCTGTGGCACCCCACTGGTCACTTCTTTCCAAGATGAAGAGGAGCCATTGCTGAGCACCCTTTGGGTTTGGTCAGTCAACCAGTTACTAATCCATCCTGTGAAACTCATGGGGTCATCATAAATTGATAGGCGACTTGAAAGCACATAGGCAGAGAGAGAGAATGAGACGTTTCAACTGATGGCATTCAGATCCTTTATGTCAGGGGTAGGCAACCAAAGGTCCGGGGACCGGATGCGGCCCCCCAAGGCCTTTGGACCAGCCCCAGGGCGGTCCTGCCGCCGCCGCCACCCACCATGATGATATTGATTATTGTTGTTATTACTTGTTCTTGGGGTTTTCTTGGCAAAATCTCCACAGGGGTTTTGGCATGGCTTTTCTGGGGCTGAGAGAGTGTGCATGTAATTTTTTAAAAAAAATTGAATTTTTTTAAAAAAATAATTAATTAATTAGTTTATTTATTGGTGCTTCGGCCCCCCAATTGTCTGAGGGACAGCAACCCGGCCCTCGGCTCAAAAAGGTTGCCTACCCCTGCTTTATGTTGTATGAGATTTGCATCAACCACACCTGGACCAGGAAGATGTTTTTGGAACATTGGAAGTATGTGCCTTTCTCCCCCACCTTTCAGGATTACAGCATATTATCCTACTTTTCAGGATGGGAGGATGAAACTGCTTAGTCTGCAACCAATTGATACATTTCCCTGTGAAAAGCTATTAATATATCTGTCTAGTCTTCTTTCCATGAAGCCTCCCTAGGAATTCTTCAAGGACTGCTTCCCTGCTGGTTTTCAAAGCTTGGAGAGCATCCAGGATTCCCTCTTTAACTCTGCTTTACTCCAACTTTATTTTTGTTGCAGTTGCTGTTCTTCAGGGACCGGTGGGAGATCAACCTCCTGAAGAAAACTCACTGTATTCTTTAGGTTCTTATTATGCCAGGATTAAAATCTGCCAAAATGATTTTTTGAAAATAATAATTTAAAAAAATGAACAGCTAGCTTCTCCCTTCCTTCGTACATTCAGGCAACCTTTCATCAGTCCACTGACTACTGCAAAGTGCTATAATTGGGACAGCCCTTGACGGTGATTCAGAAGTTTCTATTAATGTGCACTATACACTGGTAGATAGTATAGAGAAACTTCAAGAAGATAGAGGTATTCCAAAAGAAACTGGTTGGATCTGCACCTCAGACCAATTAATGTAACTTGCAAAAGTTCCTTTTGAAGATTACAGTCCCGAGCCCTCCCAGACACCATAACCAGTAACCATACTGGTTGGGGGTGGGAAGTCTTCATTGCAGTCTTA